GAACTACTCACCTTCAAACCAGATTCATTAAATGAAAAACTTTACTGTCACGCTCACTTAGAGGTAAAACATATATATTTGTGCCTGCCCACTTACATTGAGGAAAAGGTTCACAATTTTCGGCTACCCAGTCTCTGAAAAAAAATTGTTTTCCAAAATAATGTCTGATCTCCATAATATTACTGTGGAAATGACGGAAAATAGTTACTCTAAAGCTCCTAAAAGCTCAGCTCCTGATAAAAATGCAGTCCTGATTAAAAATAAGTACATCGAGAAAATGTTGCAGGGGGTTCCACTGTGGCTCTTTTAGGGTTATCAACCTGCGTTGAGTAGCTGGCCCTAGGTTTCAGTACGTTTTTGCTAATTTCTCAATAAAAAATGAATAAATAAAAATCCGGCAAAATGAAATCACCTCTCTCTCTCTCTCTCTCTCTCTCTCTCTCTCTCTATCTGAATCAGTATCTCTGTCAATTCAGCAGTCTGATTCTGATTTAGCGGTGTCTCGAAGTATCTTTGCAACGCTGGCTTTTGGCTTGTTTTTTTTTCGCCATTTTGCCAGCTCTGTCCAGTGCTGAGGCAAATTCTGTTAAAAATAAGTACAAATTCCTACTTTTTGGCTCTATCGCGGGAGGCAGCCACTACATCAACCTTGCCAAATTAAGCCGAGCACTGGTCCGGCACGGTCGTCGCGTTGTTTCTCTAATGAGCAGCTCTAATCCCACTACCCTCTGGGAAACCGATGTTGGCTTGTTCTCACACGTTGTCTTCAACTCGTTCTACACCAAAGAGAACATGGCAGACGGTGGCATTTCTCTATCCAGTAGATCCATGACGGGAGTCTTGAGTAACTCGAGAGAGCTGAGTCGTTTGGTCAGTGTCGTGCTCCTCCAGGAGTGTGAGACCAATGATTTTTCATAACTTTCATTTGTCCCACTCTAACAATGCTAATGTTCTCTCAACGTAGGGTTCACAATCAATTTTTACCCTAGGGAAGGATATTTTGTCTTGAAGGATCACAGCTCCCCTGTACTAAATTTCTAGCTCACATCTTCACATGCCCTTGGGTCAGCATGGTCACAGGAAATGCACTAACCTACATAAATGGTGATGTTGTATGACAAATGTCATATTCCTTGGTAAAATGGCCATTATTAACCATTAAACTTGGTTGTTACAACTTGTATCTGTGGAAAATAAAATGCTTTTTCCCCATCTTGCACAATTTTTCAGGTTGACATTGGGTATGGTGTCCTCATGGACAAGGGCCAACTTCTGACCGTTGTGCAGGGAAGTGACACTGCAACAAAGTTGGCCAGGAATCTGTTTTCTGCCCTCTTCAGCAGGGATGAAGTGATGGGCATGAGCTTGACGGGGAAGAAGAGCAACGCCCATCAGGACAAGGGCCCAAC